GCTTGGGATACACTGGTGAGCAAGACAGACCTGGGAGGCATTGGATAAAAAATTGCGAAGTCAGTGAGTGAATGAGCCTCCATTGAAACAAGCCTCAGATGCCATCTCTGATAATCATTTATCTACTTTAATTCTTGAAACCACTAAGTTCTACAGATGATGAAACTGAGGCTCAGAGAGGTTAAATCAACTACTCAAAGCATCAGGTAGTAAGCATTTTACCAGGACTTGACCCACGTGTGTCTGACCCAACAGTCCACGCTCTGTGCCCATTAAGCCATGTTGCTCAACAAAACGCAAACATGATAAAGAGTGTACTTTTTGGTTTGTGGTTGAGACTCCAGTGTCTCAGACGGGCACAGTCACTCTTGGCCTTTATTTTCACCTACTTTTTCCCTCTAACATGCGGGTGTGTGTTGGGTATTCACATCTGTGTGAGAGGCATGGCTGATCAGTGATAAAGCCTGTGACTCTCTTTAATTCTATTTCTCGCTGGATATTTTTATAGAGTTATATTACAGCTATACTAACACTTGAGAGTGCCTGATATTACAAAGAAAATTGCCATATTTTCAAAGAGAAGAAATGCTTTTGCAGAGAATCTGCTTGCCAAAATACTTAAATTTTGAAAATGTTGATGCCATTGGTGGAGGAGGAAGGGAGGACTATTTGCTCAGTTACATTTTCTGGTCAACAGTGCAGGGTTCTTCAAATTAGCTGATCCTCTTACGTAAGTCAAGGGCAGTCGATCAGTGACAGAGGAAACAGAGATAATCTGTCCTGTCCAGCTGCTCGCTGGCAAGAAGGACAGACTTGCTGGTACTGACTGTGCATGCGTTCGTTGGTGATACTTTTACAATTCATGACAGGCTCAGTTTGTAGTGCACAAGGCAGTCTGTGTTCATCAAATATTTATAGAGCACTTTGTGGCAGGTAGTGTGCTAGGGGCCAAGGATAGGTCCCCAGATAGACAGGTGCCCTGTCCTCATGAAGCTTTGTGCCTAGAGGGGGAAGACAGAAAATAAAAAAATTACTTACAATACTATGTGCTGAACCTAAGACAGGGAAAGGTGAGGCTTTGGAAACAGTAATTTAGGGACCTAACCTCCTTTCAACAGAAAAATGACTAGAAAGGAAAAGGCTTTTGGACTTGAAACTTGGGGTTTGAATGACCGTTTGGTGTACATGAGACACTTGCACATGATAGGTATTTGACAAATACCTGTTGAACTCGTTTACAAACATACCGATATGTGAGTGAATGATTGAATGAATAACATGCAATACTGACTCTCTTTGTCTAAATAGGCATAAGTTTTGAGAAATGATATTAAATCATTGTTAGTCTCTGTATGTTTTTTTAATCTTATTTTGAATTAGAGTTTGAGAACCACTATCAAACTAAATTTAAGGAGAAATTAACACTGAAGAGTTGGAGGCCAGCCTGCACCACAGCTTTGATGGGCAAGCCTGACACCAGTGTGGCAGTGACATCTGTAAGTGGTTAGCCATGTACAGTGGGGAAGCACTTTGCAGAGAAGAAGCATAGGGCTAGCTCTGTCTCTTATGGAGAGTCTCCTTCTATTGACTGGGAAGATGTCAGTTTGCTTTTCTCAAGGAAGCAGATACGGAGCATGGCAATAAGGGGAAAACAGGACATTTTCTCCTTCAATCCAATGCCAGTCACAGGAGCTACAAAAAAGACAGAGATGCTCTTCACATTAGACCCAAAGCCACAAAGGGTGTGATGAACATTGGTTGGAGTGCTGCTCCCTTCTCCTGGAATGACCTCTAAACTGCCAGTGTGCGGTCCTGTAGGTGTTGTGATATCCTGACCCTCCAGCCACAGGTGACTTAGTGGGGGTAGATCTCTTGCCCAGGCTAGCCCTATCAGCTTTTCTCCCCCAATTTAATGTTTGCAAGAGAAATAAGCAAAGGAAATAATCAGGTTGATTGGCCTGGTCTCGTATTCATGGCAGCCTTTTAGAGAGAAAGCCTACCAACTTCAGAGCAGAGACACCCAAACTTCAAACCTTGATTATTTGATTCTTCCACCAAACCTGTGAGACACCTGATGTCTTTTTAAATAGTAAACCACGCCCCGCCCCCAAATTATCTTTTGGTAAGTTAGGCTGAGATGGCTTCTGGGGTTTGCTGAATTAATTCAAGGGAAAATTAAGATCAAATGTTTAGAAATGAAACTGACTTTTTCATTTTAAAAAAAGCATAAATTGCACATTAGAAAGAGAAGCTGTATTTTCAAACAATGCAATAAATCACTTAAAGTTTTTATACATTAAGTATACAGTAAAACACTGAGTATTTTATGACATTCATTTAAAAAAATCTTTCACTGTTTAATAATAATTTCTTGAATTAACAGTTTTTTTCTGTAAAATATGACCAGGATTAGGTTGATGACATAACTGACATATTTATAATTTTGAGTCTTCCTATCTAAGAATAAGGTATGCATTTTCACTGATTCAGACCTTTTTAAATATCTCTTAATTTTTTTATATGTCTTGCATATTTTTCACTTATTGTTGTACAAATGAGATCTTTCCCCTTGTTGCATGTTTTAACTTCATATATGAAAGTTTATTTTTTTAAAACAGAATAAAGAGATCTCCTATACTGGTTAGTGAAAAAAATAGCCTAACTAATGAAGGGAGGTCTTCCTTAAAATTTCTACTATTGGTTTAATCCCAGAAGACTTAATAATATTTATTTATATTAATTAATTATTCACCCTGTATGCCTTTGGGCAAAAGCCTCCTACCCTTATGAAGAGCAGCAGTGACCCCTACTGGTTAAATAAGGCAGCTCTGGGTGTCTGCCAGGACAAAAATTCTTAACATTTTCTGGGTCCTGGATTCTTTTCCAAATCAAAAGAAATCTAGAGATCCCTTCACCAGAAAAAAATTCAAGTTCTTATGTAAATACAATATTCGCATAACATACAGGTAATTCATGGATCCCTGAGCTAGATAATAGGGTCACTGAGCTCTATCTGAAAGTTTGAAGTGGATAATAAACTCACGTAGATTCAACAGAGTTTTTACAAGGAGCATAAGCTAGTGCAACTTAATTCAATTATTATAATGTTTTTACCAGCATGGCTTACAAGATTTTTTCAGGATGATTAACTAACAAGTTAATAGGCACAACTAGATAGTTATTATACTGCCATAGACCTATTAGAATCATGCTTATATTTCTATCATTTTCTTGTTCTTTTAAATCATGTTCTTTGATATAGTTATTTCCATCTATAGTAATGTATACTGTGAATTGTTTTCCCAGGTATATGTTTTATATTATGGCATTTCTTTGCAAGGCCTACAATCAGTGGCCACTGTCACAAAAAAAATCAGTTCTTAGGGCCAAACTGACACTCATATTCAGAGAGATTGTATTTTCAAATAGAAGCATGACCTTAATGGCTGTAATGAATTAAAAATTAATTTCTAAATGAGATTATCAATTCACATTGCTATATTTTTGACAGATTTTTTTCCTCCTCTCGGAGTATAACGTGTAATAGAAAAGAACAAATCTGACTCCATATTAGATCTGTTCCTTTGGCTTTAACCCTGTGCTCTGTTTCCTAGGCTTAGTCTTGCTGGTTCTGCACATTTTGTAAAAGAATGTCGCCTATAGCCTGAAATAGACAGGACAGCCCATTCTCAAGGCTCTGGCCTCTAAGGGTATTAGCACTTTTCCATTCATATAATAAGTTGCAGAATAGAAAATAACATTTGTTTTGTTGGAGAAACACAGGGACACCACGATCTGACCCATGTGGACAGTTGCCAGAACAAAGGTTTCCCACACCAAGAAGTCTGCAAAAACCACATCCCCTCCCCCTTTTTAGTATAAAAGGAGCCTGAATTCTGACTTGGAAGATGGTTCTCTGGAACATTAGTCTGCATCTTCTTGGTCTGCGGGCTTTCTGAATAAAGTCCTTATTCCTTGCCCCAACACCTCGTCTCCCGATTTATTGGCCTGTCCTGCAGAGCAAAACAGGTTTGGACTCAGTAACAAATGCAGTGTGCTCTGGAGACAAGATCAGTGGACCTGGTTACAGTTAAAGAACAAGCAGAGCCAATAAAGTGCTTGTCTATTCAAGTTTGAAAATGTCCAACTCCATCAATTTTCCTTCTTGGGAGGAGCAATAGTTAGGCATGACTGATCACAAACTGGATTTTACCTGGGTATAAAACAAAATGCCAATACTTTGGCACCAGGATGTATATAAATAGAAATGGCTTAAGTCTTGTGTCTTTCTTCCACCAGCTTTAAAAAGCTGTACCCTGGGATTGCTGAAGCCATATTAATCAGCAGATTAACCAAAACATGGCCAGGAGTTATGCCATTTTGAGAGGTTAGCAAAAAAAGAAAAAAAAAGGAAAAAAAAAACAACTATGTCAGCAGAAGATAAATTTGAGATTTTGCCACATGCTGTTAAAACTCTTTTGCAAACTTTCTCAAATTGAAACTCTTCCGCAATATTCAACAAGTGTTTACTGGACAGTGTAAGCGGAATTGTTTTGGGGCGCCACAGATACAAGGATATCTCAACACTTCCAGCCAAACTGAACCAAAGTAGCGGAATCAGGTGACATAACTCAAGGCGGCGACACCCAAAGGCGGCGAGGTGTGAGAGCCGCTGCGCTCTCTCCCGATCCTCCCTAGAAAGATTACCTAGGTTATCTAAAGAAAAAGCATTCACCCTCCAGGAAATACAGCACAACAACCATGTCCCTGAGCCAAAATATTTAAGGCTGAGAGTAAAGTAGACAACTTTATCATCTCAAGACTTCCCCAGAAGCGAGGGAAACCTTCAGCCGCGCGACTCCACCAGCTTCCGCCGGGCAGTCCCAAAACTCCGCCCCAAAGGCGGCCCCGGAGAGAAAGGCCCGCCCCCTGGCCCTTGGAGGCTGGCGGGTGACCAGCGCGCGTGCGCAGCCTTACGTCACGTCCGGCGCCAAGGCGCCCAGTTCCGGAAGGGGCTGCACAGTGTGGCGGCGGTTTCTGTGTTGGTGATTAGTGTTTCTTCCCTGCCGGAGCGACTGGGTAAACGGCGGCGTCATGGTCGAGGTAAAGTGACAGTTGAGTGCTCAGGGACCTTCTACTTCTGGACTGTTTTTCTTTGGCGGCGGGCTTGGGGGATCGAGGGTGTTGGGAGTCTGGGGAGAGAAGCGGCTGCGGGCGGAGGCTGTTTGGCCGAGGCCGGGTAGTCTCTTTTAAGGTTTTCAGGGAAGGAGAGAAGCCGGATGAGAGCTCGCGTTGGAGGTTGTGTCCGGGCTGGAAGCCTGAGATAAGTTCTCCAGCTTTTATTTGGCCCCTGGGCGCTGCCCTCCGAGGCGGGCCTTCGGGCGATGTTCGACCGCTTGTACTCGCAGCCTGCGGAGTAGAGTCAGTGATTCTGTGTCCTAAAAGACTGGCGGCCTTTCTGTGGTCTTCAGTTTCTCTCTCAGCTCTTCCCAGGGAAAACCTGCCATTCTTGAGTTTTTGCTTTTTCTATGGCTTGAACAACCGTTCTCCTAGCGAGCCTTGTTCGTCTTATCTCAGAAATCTTTGACTCTTGCCCAGGACCACTGCCATCATCTGAATTCAGTCCACATCATCTTCCACCTGCTCTGATGCATTAGCTCTTGGGTGATCTTTTTGCTTCCTTTTTTGTCACCTTCCCCCACCCCCAGTAAGTGATTTGTTTAAAACGTTAAGTAGATAAGGTTTTTCTTGCTTGAAACTCTTTAGTGGCCCCATGTAACTAGAGCAGAGATGCAGACCGTTGCAGTGGTATATTAAAAAAAAAATCTGGACTTTGTCTCTTCTTGCAACCTCATCTTGCATCACAACCCACCATCTCCCCAACATATACAACATATACAGTGCTGCAGCTTCTGGCATTATTTCAGCTACTGAACACCTTTGTACTTGCCATTTTCTCTCTACCTGGATTTTTCTTAGTCTATTTTGTGCAAGGCTAACTCCCTTCTGCTTAAATACACCTCAGAGAGATCTTTCCTACCCACCCTGAGTTCTTTCTCTGATCTCTTTCTCGGCATCCAGCTTGTTTCCTTCATAGCATTATCAAAATGTGGAGTTACTTTTCTTATTTTTATTCGTCTCTTTCCTCTTGAGCACAGAGACCAAGGCTGGCTTTTCATCATTTTGTTGTTAGCTTCTAGCACAATACCTGCCAGACAATTAACAGAAGCTCAGTAATTATTTATTGAATAAGTGACTAATCTCAGGCATCACTCAATTGGTATACCTGGGGCTCTGGCCCAAGGGGAGCTTCCTCCTCTTCTCTGAGCTTGACTCCTGTAGCTTGCTACAAATAGCTGTGGTGAGTGGTACAAAACTCTTTACATATTTATACATGTAAAGTATAACTAATTTGACTTTAATGTAGGTTATGGTATGTGTAATTTGTAGCTGGATATGTAATTACACTCTTTCTTTCTAGGAGGTACAGAAACATTCTGTGCACACACTTGTGTTCAGGTCATTGAAGAGGACCCATGATATGTTTGTGGCTGATAATGGAAAGCCTGTGCCTTTGGATGAGGAGAGGTAGGAATAGTTCCTTTTCAATTGCTAGAATATTTGAACTTCTGATACTGGGGCAAGAGAGCAGGGAGAGGGGGACTTTAAAGACTAGTAATACTAACTCATAGGATATCTATTCAATATTGAGTGGTGTCTGGGCATAATTTAAGCTGATTTAACTTTTTTTTGGCCTTATCTTTTACAATGAAAATCCCATTAATTAATTGCATTTTACAAGTACCCAGTAAGTAGGAGAGTCCCTTTTAGGTGTTATATTTTATAATCAATCACTTTGTATGTGCTTTCAGCTTCCTGCTGCTCTCAGAGCCTTGCTGAGCTGAAATTGTACCTGGCCAGTACCTCTACTCCCATCTTTTCTCGTTAGTATGATGAAGATTTTTGAGTGGTGGCATATTTTTGGTTCTACATCTCCAGCTCCAGTCTGGGATTGCATTATGTGCAGTGGTCCTTCTTTGTCCTTCACCTTTCTTTAAAAATCTACCTAATTCCTCAAATAAGCATTTATATTTAATTTATAAAGTGGGCTATCCTTAAAAGTAACATAATAAGTGCATTTCTTTTTAAAATATTGAACTAAGTATTCAGATAAGTTCTAACTAATCTTTTTAGATATATCCAGGAAAGGTTACTATAGAAATTTTTACTTTATTTTTATATTTAGACTTTTGAAGGGAAGTATATTGGCTTTGAAGTTTTTTAAAGGATATATTAGTTTCTATATATTTTAAAATCAGACACTTGATAAATCAATATGAAAGGTTTTATATAATTGGTTAACAAACTAAAATAGTACTTAGACTTAATGGATGCTGTGTGGTAGATTATGAATGAAAGTGTGGAAATGCACTTGGAAATTTTTTTAAATATTGTTTAACTTTAAGATTGTAATAGAAACTTTTTCTACATGATTAGGCAAACCTAAGCTATTTAAAAACTTGTGTCCTGGCTATCTGTGAATATATTGACATGGGTGAATATATTTAGAGTTCTCAAAGATACATTTTTATGTTTATAATTTTTAAATAGTCACAAACGAAAAATGGCAATCAAGCTGCGTAATGAATATGGTCCTGTGTTGCATATGCCTACTTCAAAAGAAAATTTTAAAGAGAAAGGCCCTCAGAATGCATCAGATTCATATGGACACAAACAGTATCCTGCCAATCAAGGTGAGAATAACATTGTCAGAAATGTCACGATGTACATGTGAATTTTGAAAATAGAAAAATGGAATATCTCATTGGTGCTTCTCCGGGAAAGACTTCTTTGAACCACACCCTATTTACCAGCTATCCCCGTATCATGATGACAGTCTTGATTTCCTCATTGGAGTAGTGAGTGAGGTTATTGGTTGATGGATTTTTTTTTCCTTGTAGGGAATTTTGAAATGGTGCTATAATGATGGCAGAAATTCTTAGGATATGGAGACAGTCGTAATGGAGACTAAAGGAAAAACTTCTAACCTTTGGGGAGACCTTATGTCTATTTTCACTGTAATTCAGAAAGGTGATATCAAGTATTGAAATTGTAAGGAATAAAGATAATCCAAAATTCCACAGGAAAACCATTTTCTTGGAAGAAAAACCATAGTGGGTTATTACTTGATAGGATGACCTCTCTACACACCATTGCAACGTAGCTAATGTACAGGCTTTCTCGACATCACATTGGCAAATGGTCAGGGAAACAGCTGTGTCCATGGTCTTCAGAAGACAAAACAAAAATGATCAACTTGCCTTTTTTATGAGGCTTGGGTTTAATTTGGGAAATCCAGTTGATAATTTAATATTATTTAATTCATTAAAAGGGATGATACTTGTATATAAGGTAGTTTTACCATTGATGAGTTTTCTCTCTGTCTTTTTCTAATAGGACAAGAAGTTGAATATTTGGTGACAGGTACACATCCATATCCACCAGGACCTGGTAAGTGAGCTGTTAACAATTGTCTTGTTGTTACATGTATTTCCATGAGTGAGCCAACAGTGCGATTCCCATTACCTGTAAAATAATCAAGCTCAATAACCGGGCATCCAGGCATAGTTTCTTAGGTGATAATTAACTAATATAATACTTAATGTCACATGCATTCATTCAACACACATTCTCAAGCGTTTGTTTTTTTTTCAGGCACTTTGGTAGGAATTCAAAGATGGTAAGACTGTTCCAAGCTAAGACAGATTTTTTATCTGGAGGCTTAGCCAAGACACATAAATATCACTAAGCTTATAAACGTGTCAGAAGTGTTAGTACAGAAGCAGGTATGATGGAAATGTGTCCTGAGCATGTTGTATGTATAGAGGAATTGGCACACAAGTGGAGTGGCCAGGATAATAGTAATAGGGTGAAGGGCAAAAAGCTTGGTATATCCGGGTTCTAGTAATTTTGGAGGACAGGATTCACTGTATTAAAAGTTTAAATAAATTGATACTTTTTGTAGTAATTTTCATTCACCCTTGGAAATATTCTAACTAATGTATTTAGGGAACAGCTTAATTTTTATATTTCAAGATAATATTCTAAGATAATAGAAATTGAACTTTGCTATCTTGGACTGTGTAATACCAAACTGTTTTGATTAACTCAAATCTGAGATATGTGTTGGGCAATATTTATTATAAAAAAGTTGGAAACAAAAGACCTTCAAAATAAAAATTTTTGTAGTATCACCACATGGTGATAATGACTATTACCTTTTTTGATATGTTTTCCTTCAGCACTTTTTTGTAAATGCATGTAAATGAAAACAGAGATCATTACTAAAAGGAGTTAATTTTCTTTTTTAATTTAACAGGGGTTGCTTTGACAGCAGACACTAAGGTCCAGAGAATGCCAAGTGAATCAGCCGCACAGTCCTTAGCTGTGGCCTTACCTACTTCTCAGACCAGGTAGGAAATATCACGCTTCTGTTTACAAAGATTTTGAAAGCATAGTTTATTGTTCACATTTTTTCTCATTTTAAAATTGTGTTCCTTTGTAATTATGGATTACATGACACTTTACCAGTGCTTACAAAAATGTGTGAAGAGTCAATTCTGCAGAGCACATGACTAGAGGCATTAGTTACTTCGAATGTGATGTTTCTTTTGCCTCAGGGGCGATGCAAATCGCAGTGCACCCGCCGGAGGTGAATACCGACATCCTGGGGCTTCCGACCGCGCACAGCCTGCAGGGGCAGTAAGTTTCCCTGTGCCAAATCACATCACGCTGCAGGTTGCTCACTTTTAGAACATGTTGCCTGTGTCCCTTTGTCCCAAGATTCTTACCTTAAGTATTAAATAAATGAACATTTTCCTTGGTATTATTCAAGTAAATATCAGCCTAAGGTAATTGTTAATATGTCATAGCCCTAAAATTTAAGTTGCTAGTGAATTGATATATTTTTTAGAATTTAAAATTCTCTTAATTCTATTTTTGCTTGCACATTGGACATAATATTTATTTTGATGAAAATAATAGGATGTTGCTCTTTATTACCCACTATTAAAAATACAGGGAATGTTACTCAGAAACTTGTATTAGTATGTATTAGGTATAAAAGTCTTTTTTACTAAACTCTAAGTTGGTTTATACAGTTAGAGTTGAGTGCTATTAGTATCGTAATATTCGCAAGCTATGCAATTAGTGTCTTATAAATGAGCATTTAGTAATGCATAAATTTATGTCTGTAAGTAAGTGGCGGCTACTGTTACTATTGCTGAAAGTATAGAAAGAATAACTGAAAATATGCAGTTTACTCAAAGTGCAGGCTTTCCTTCCTCAGATTAGTATGCAGTCACCTTATGAAGTGAGTGGATTGTAGTCCTGCCACGTTTCTTAAGCCTCCATTCACAACGTCTGCCAGGCTTGGGCTATAATGCAAACCTCTGGAAGGCAGGAGCTTTACAGGCTTTTCTGGATGGATGGATAGGTGGATGCCAGCAGTAGACGGTTATATCAGCTCGAGTACCTTTTAAAGTAGTACTTAGATATTCCTATGGGAGATAAATAGAAGGAACTCTCAGGCTGTCCTTCGTAATATTCAGTCAGTAATGTTAAAATATGACAGTGAGAGGCAGTGGCAGTAATCCAGTTACAGTTACTTAAGAGGACGAGCTTACACAGAGCATTCACTCCTCTGTCAGTCTGCATAATGACTGTAGGAAGTAGGCGCTGTTACTTCTGTTTTACTAACGAGGCACAGAGATTACATAATTTTTACCCAAGGTCATTATTAGCTAGTAATTGGCAGAGTTGGGCTTTGGAGCCACGCACAGTGATAAGTGCTCTCAGTGCTAATGTTCTGCCTCCCTGAGATTTTTTTAAATTGATTTTTAAAATTGAAATGAACATACAGAAAATACTGTTCTAATTAGAAGTCTTAGGCTCATTTTCTAGGTATGCAAGTATTTTTCAGCTGTCCTTTCCTCTTTTAAGGAAAAAAAAACCTTCATAAATCCCTTCTTTGAATTTCCACTTTTGAACTGATAACAGGAGACCTTAGGTATGATCACTTTAATGTTAATGCAATCTGTTCCATATCTAGGTTGTTATGGAAGGTGGCAATGCCAAGAACTCCGCCCTGATGGCTAAAAAAGCCCCTACAATGCCAAAACCCCAGTGGCACCCACCATGGAAACTCTACCGGGTGAGTGAATATGTATATTATTCCACTGCATGAAACATGATCACTGCTTTCCAGTTAAACAAGAGCGGAGAAATCGAATAAGTAGGAAAAGGAGTGAATATGAGAGCTGGAGAGCAGTCTAGGTGGGATGGGGAAAGGGGCTTTAGCACCATCTTAAAAGATATTTTGTGAAAGAGACTCCAGTAAGTGGAAGCTATATTTATATTCTGTACAAAATGTTGGTAGAAGGCTACTCCAGAGCACATAAGATAAACTTAGGAAAGTTTGTGAGATGTTCTATATGAAGGCCAAGGGGACATTTCTTTGGCCCTACCAATTATCTTTTTAATTCTAGCAAATTAAAATGATTCAAAGTCATTTAGATTTACTAGATCTAAAATAAAATGTCTATAGTAGGAAAAGTGCAGCTATATAAATTATCATTCAATAAAACAGACTTTGAATTCATCCAAGTTGCACGTGTTAACACATGCCTTTTTGTTGCTGAGTCATAGTGTGTTGTAAGGATACACCACAGTTTGTGTATCCATTCACACACTGAAGATAATTTAGTACTTACTCTAGAATCTAATGGGGAGATAATCTCATAAACTTATCATTTGAAGATGTAGGGGAGCAATTCATACTGATTAAACTTAAGCCTGTGTGTAATGAGCCTGCTGTTTTAACACAGGTGATCAGTGGGCATCTTGGCTGGGTTCGATGCATTGCTGTGGAACCTGGAAATCAGTGGTTTGTTACTGGATCTGCTGACAGAACTATAAAGGTAATAAGGAAAGAAGAAAAAAATAAACATGACTTTGTGCTTGCCTTGTAATTTTAATGGGTTTTAAGTTATTTCCTCGGGTGGCAATTGCTGTTGTAGTTCTCTGATTTCTTAACCTGAGTATGGAGTAAAATTTATCATCTATACCAGTTAAAAGTTCCACATAAATAGCTGTTTGAAAAGTGGTATTTAAACAGTTTCTTTTCCAGACGGTACATGCTGTCTACAACTAATTCCTTCATATTTAAGTTTTTTCCCCTTCTGGTTACGAAGTTAAAGTGTGCTTATCTGTAAAAAAAAAAAATGTGAAAAATGTAAAGAAGTATAAAAGAATATAGATCTATATGTAATCTTACCACTGTCAGGTATTTGAATGACTTTCTTTTTGACATTTATTTCTGTGTATATGTATCAGTGCATTTTCTTCTGAGCTTTTTTCCTGTGTGTACATAAATATGTATCTTTTTAAAATCATGTTTGATATGTAAATTTGTTCCCAGCTTTTTTTCACTTAAGTCAAAAGCATATTCCTGTGAAAAATCACATCTTTTTAAATGGCGCCGTAGTATTATATCATTTAGATATTCTATAATCTGTTTTCCTAATGTTGGACATTGAAGTTTTTTAGTTTCCTGATTGTCCCTATCATAAGTAATGCTGTAATTTACTCTACGCCTAAAGCTTTTTCTGTGTTTCAAATTATTTTGTTATGATAGTTTCCCAGAAAAGGTGTTAACAGGTCAAACTCTTTTTTTTTTTTTAGGTTTTTTTTTTTTTGGTGGGGGGAGGTAATTAGGTTTATTTACTTGTTTATACTTTTTGAGGGAGGTATTGGGGATTGAACCCAGGACCTCATGCATGCGAGGCACACGCTCTACCATTGAGCTATACCCTCCCCACAACAGGTCAAACATTCTTGAAGTTAACCCCCAAAGTAAAAATCATTTTCCAAAATGGGTGACTTGATACTTGCAGCCTATGAGAGGGTTCTTTTCAGCAGATTGCTTGTGTTTCTTTAAAAATATCTACTAATGTGATAAGTGGAAGTGAATATCTAATCTTTTAAAAACTGTTTATATAAAATTTTGAGTGAGGTTGAACTTTCTGATACCTTTCTTTGCTACTTGCAGGGTTTTTTTTTAATTGATACCATCCTCGGCTAATTTAATACCTTAGTATTTATATTTTGCTCTTAATGATATCCTTTATATATTAAGAATACTAAGTTTTTGTCATCTATGTAGATATTTTCTGTTTAAATATGCCTTTTAATTCTCTTTTTTTCCTGCCTTTATTTTTGCTGTTGGGGTCATTTTGCAAACTTTTATATTTGTATATGTTTTTATATTTCACCTTTTGAAGACAGTTTTAACATCAAGAGTCTAAAAATTTGCTTTGGTATAATCAACAAGAAGAAAACTTGAGTATTCTTTGATTGCAGATATGGGACTTGGCTAGTGGCAAGTTAAAACTGTCATTAACGGGGCACATCAGCACGGTGCGCGGTGTGATAGTGAGCACCCGGAGCCCGTACCTCTTCTCCTGCGGGGAGGACAAACAGGTCAAATGCTGGGATCTTGAGTATAACAAGGTAAGCATGGAGTGAAGGATTTAAAACGTTAGGAGCCCCTTTGCCCTTTCTCACTGTAGACATTTTAACTTTCCTTCTTTATCCGTTAGGTTATAAGGCACTACCACGGACATCTGAGTGCAGTGTATGGCTTGGATTTACACCCAACAATCGACGTGCTGGTGACCTGTAGCCGAGATTCCACGGCACGGGTAAGTGGAGCAGAGCTCTGTGCCAACCTGGGCACATACTGCATCTCACAGTGTGCTTGTTTGATACTGCAGTCATATATTGTTTGACAGAGAATTTAAAGATAGGTACCTTGACTCATCAATACCTTAGTCTCAGTTTCTTGACTTGTATGTTTTTTCCAGCTACATCTTCAGTTGTGTGGCCTCGCCATGTTTATCATTGGAGTGCCCCACCCCTGACACTCTCACATTCCGGTCTCTGACCAGAGCTGTGGTCCGTTGGCTGCTTCATTCAGTGGCCCCACTAGACCCACTCTAGACAGTAGGTTTCCGGATCTTTTAGCTTGTTTCCCCCATTGGCTGCCTCCTGTCTCCATTCCCCAGCCAGCTCACAGGTGACGAGTTCACGTAAGCACTTTCTTGGTCATAGTCAAACAGGCACACACCATTGTCTGGTAAATTCCCAGTGACCTGCCTGAGATACGAACACCTGTTCTCTGACAGTATGTCTGTTGTATTTTTATAGATTTGGGATGTGAGGACTAAAGCCAGTGTCCACACGTTATCTGGACATACTAATGCGGTTGCTACCGTGAGGTGTCAAGCTGCAGAACCACAAATTATTACTGGTACGATCGCCGCTTTCCAGGTTTACAGTATATCATATCAGTGCAGTAAGGTTATGTGTCATATGCTTTTCATCTTTACCGTGGCTCTGGCTTTGTGCTGGATATACAGTGTTTCTGTGTGCATTTGAAATGTATTGTGGTAACGTTCCATTCGATTGTTTTATCTCATACTTTTTACGTATCATAGGATACGTCCTATGTTGTATGGTGTAACGTCTGACTAGAAAATGGTGCCGTTAGATGCAGCTAAGCCTTGTTTTATGGTATCAGAATTACCAGTTGGGGAATTGAAGTTAGAAGACAAAATACCTTGAGCGGATTTGAGTCTTGTTTCGCTTCTAATAAGGCTAATAGCAATGGATATTTACTCTGAGATTAGAAGATAACCCCCTCCCTTGATGTGTTTTGGTAACTAAAAAATCATTGAAGTTTTTTCCTTCTTCTCTTTCAGGGGATAATACCATGCATTTGTTTTGTTTGTTATTCACATTTGTTTTAGCTGTTCAGATGACAGGACAACACACGTTTATTACATTTGTTTAACAGTTAAATTTAAAATTAGCCCCAAACTTTGGAACTATATAGCAATTAGCTAAGAGTTAATACGACTTTTACTTAGTATATGTGCGCCAATGGAAGAGTGCTTCAGATTTTATTATGTTTTAATTTTTGCCCTTTTTTGCATTTATGTTTTGGGGTTGTGTGTGTATCTCCCTTACAGGAAGCCATGACACTACAATACGATTATGGGATTTGGTGGCTGGAAAAACAAGAGTCACATTAACAAATCACAAAAAATCAGTCAGGGCTGTGGTTTTGCATCCAAGGCAGTAAGTATATTTCCCTAAGCAAAGTCCTTCCGTTGGTTCTAGGTATAGTGTAGAAATCGCAACATTAGTGCTAGTTTGGTCGGCATTTGGCCTGTGCCATTTTCAGGCCTGTGCCACTTAGGAACATGCATTTCTTTTATTTTCCCTGTGTAGTATTTTGCTTCGTGCCCTTTATAAGATAAGGAAAACTTCCTACACCGTGAAAAATGGTAATGTCAAATGAGGTAATCTGAATAAATCATGATGAAAAGCTGCATGTCATAATAGAAGCTAATAGTAGCTAGATTTAATGTTTTGGAAATAAATGGTAGTAGACACTGAGATATAAGTAGAATGGTTAATTTTTAAGGAGGAAGGTAGTATCCATAGGGGAAAAAAGTAGTAGGAATCATGAACAATGTAGTCAGGATATCCAAAGAGATGGAGCGCAGCATCACCACCTGTCGTCTGTGACACCGCGTCACCCGGCACTTCTCTGGTCACATTCATGTCTTCCGTCCTCCTCCCTCTCCTGCTCTCCCTTACTTTTATTCCCTCTCTCCTTCTTCCTCCCTTTCTCTCTCCCTCTTGCCCTCTCTCTCTTTCCTTTTCTCCATTTCTTCTTCTCTCTCTCTCTGGCTTTTCTCTTGCTCTCACCAAAATAGTTACATCACCCCTCGCTCTTTATGTGAGTTTAAGGGTTTGCACATTTATTGCTTTAGCTCAGTGTTGAGCAATGGGGAAATGAAAGAAGAAGAAAACTTTAATCTAGGGCTTAGAATACATTTAAAATAATTTGAAAATCTGGTTTAACTTGGAACAGATGTCTTGATGTTTTTCTCTCTTGGTATGACAATAATATTTTACTAAAACTACATGGATCATGACTACAGATGCGAAATACAACCATAATAAGCATTTTTAAAATCTGACATTTTATTTAACTTGGTTTACTTTGTCATTAATTCTTTTTCATCTTATTTCAGTTACACGTTTGCATCTGGTTCTCCAGATAACATAAAACAGTGGAAATTCCCCGATGGAAGTTTCATTCAAAATCTTTCTGGTCATAATGCTATTATTAACACATTGACAGTAAATTCTGATGGGGTGCTTGTATCTGGAGGTAAAATAAGATTTTTATGATAGATATGCTTTAGTCTGTCATTTTTTTCTTTTAGTGAGTGAGTAAAATTCCTAAGTCATTATACTTAAGTATTATAGCAGAACTTGCCTTTTCACTGTGTGTTTGAATGTTCATGTGTGTGTTCATGCATATTCCTAGTACCTGTAGCATATTTCATGGCTTAGCTCTCTTTAAGTTCTCAAATTGATAAGTCTAAGGGGTTTATGCCAGAAATCACCCAAAGTTGGCTTGTATATTCTAGAAATGAATGTCATCTTGTGGTGCTTCTTGAGATATGTAACAAATTCTGAATTGAGCACAAATGAAAGTCAGCTGATACTAAGAGAAATCTGAGTGCCTGCGTCTTCATATCTTTATAACTGTAGTTATTGGCACAGTACTTGGCTAATGATTGGTGCCTAATAATAAATGTTCATCAGACTGACCCATTAAAGGCTTACCAAGTTTAATTGTATCTTTCCCTTTAAGCTGACAATGGCACTATGCATCTCTGGGACTGGAGAACTGGCTACAATTTCCAGAGAGTTCATGCCGCAGTGCAGCCTGGGTCCTTGGACAGTGAATCAGGAATATTTGCTTGTGCTTTTGATCAGTCTGAGAGTCGGTTACTAACAGCTGAAGCTGATAAAACCATCAAAGTGTACAGAGAGGATGATACAGCAGTAAGTTCCCTGTTTCATACACATTTTAAAGGAAAGTAAATGTCATGCCAATTTTGCATGCGTTTTCTCATTTTAGAGTTAACGTAATTATCAAAGGGAGGATAATCTTCATAGTATTAAAGTATTTGTCATCTTGAGTAGTGTCTGCTCATTGATTTCTGTATTGCTTTCATTGATGCCAGCAATCCATAGTTTTAATTTTATCTCAGCTTTCCTTGTTAAAGTTACTGGGAAGATGGTACACTGAGAGTAACTGCGAATAAGTGGATTGCTATGCAGATTAATTCTAGAATCGTAAACTTTGGTGTTATTAGAATATCTAAATAGCAATTTTATTTAAGATGAAAAACCATAAACAATTAATAGTTGAATGAATTCATCCTTCATTAAATTCCAATAATGTCAAAAGTTGGTCACCTAGTCTTAAAAAGAACTGCTAAATATATAATGCCAAGTAACATAATTTAGAATAAATACCTTATTTATGTTAGAAAGGAAGTTACAGCACAACATTGTAAAATGGCTATAACTCAATAAAAAAAGTTTATATATAAAAATTAAAAAAAGTTACTAAATATGAAGCAAACCAATAATACTTTGTTTTAACTTGCTTACTTTTCTATTTTTAGACAGAAGAAACTCATCCAGTCAGCTGGAAGCCAGAAATTATCAAGAGAAAGAGATTTTAATGTGGCAGTGTCTTCATGGTGGTTCCAGTTTTGTTTGTTTGTTTTTGGTTTTTTTAGCTTGGCATTGATGAGACCATCCAGTCATTGTGCTCTGGCTAGGAATATAAAGCAAAACTCAGATGCTTGAATCATTGCTTCTTCATATTTTACAATAAACTGTCCTCTCCCCGTGTTTTTATTTCTAAAATAAACAATTTGAGATCCTAGGAGGTAAGATGCAGATGTCAAGCATACGCAGGTTTTTGAGCATAACTATTCTAAAGACAGAATATTTTGTCACCTTTATTAAAACATACCTTTTTGTTTTTCAACTTACGAAACTGCTAACTCTAGTAGGACGTGTTTTGAAGGGAGCAATCTTTTTTTAATCCTTTAAAAACTAGTATCTGACTGATAATTTGGGATTAAAGGATTGAAGACTTAAATTACATATGTTTATTCCACAGGCAGTTTTTGAGTGTGCATTCTGCACAGTTCTGCACTAGATAATGTTCAGGAAATAGACAAGCGAGATGAGTCTGTCCTTTAAGACTTCCACTTGAGTGGCTTATTACAGAAATGCTGTCATAGAGGTACCAGCGAAAAGCTGGGGTCACACAGAGGAAAAGACCATTCATTTTCCCCGGGACGGATTCTGGAAGACCTAAGAGTCGGTGGTGGTTGAGCTGAGACTTGAGAGGTCAGAGGAGGGAATGGGTGTTCTAAAATGAGGCGTGAAGTGGGTGAAACCAGACGTGGGACGAGTGTGTGTTCCAGGAGTCCAGGAGCAAAGACGTGTCTGCCGCAGTCGACGCAGTCGGTGATGGGGAAAGCTCGTGTTTTGAGTTGCAGTTTTATGCCACAAGCAGTAGTTATCAGTATAGGTATCAAACCCTGGGGAAATAGCTGGAGCCACCAGTGGAGACACCTGAAGCCGTAGCAAGGCCTGCGGTCTTTTGCAAAGACTTTATAGAAAAGTGTTAACGTTTCTGATGCCTACGCCTCTTTCTGCTTTGTAGACCTTGTCTTTAAGGATCCCAATTCCCTAATCAGTCAAGAAAATTTGTCACACTTCACTTTCTGTAGTTAGAAAAAACAATTACAGGAACAGGCGGTTTAAAATTTTGGTTTCAAATCTTAAAATTAGACCCTAATTTTGAATAAGCATTTCCAAATTATGCATACCCCGTCTTGCATGCCATAGGTGGGAGTGTAGGTACTACAGCCTTTAGGAGGGTAGCTTCCCAGAGTATGCTGAAAATGTTTGGACTCTTTGGCTTCATTAGGAAGGAAGTTACTAGAAAACTGCCTGTTAGGAGCAATCTGCCAAGTATACACAATCAAGTTCATTGTACCTTTATTTTTTAATTAAAACCAGCCCAGATGTCTTATCAGTAAGGGCCTAGTATAATAAATTATGGTATCCTCATGCAGTTTCTCTCCATTAAGAATGAGAAATGTTTCTGGAATAATAAGATGTCCAAAATCTGCTCTTAGATAAAAAAGGAAGTTGTGCAAGCTTTTTTTTTTTGGTGAAACAACTTGTTAATGTTCTAAATAATAATGGAGAAGTAACAGCACATTGTTACCAGTAGTTTTGTGAGGGAGTGGAATTATGGGAGAACTTTCATGATCGGCTTTATATATTTCTATAATGTTTTAATTTTCTATAAGCATGTATTTTGTAAACTTAAATAAAGAAAAAAATACCACTACACTTGCATCCCTGAGAGGTTCTACTACGCTTTCTAACAAGAAAAATCACAGAGGTGAATAGTATCCCAAAGCTCAGCCCTGAGGCCGAGGAGAAATTAATAAAAGGAGGTGAGAATGAGAGCGCCTAGTATCCTGCCGAGCAAACCTGCAACTGTTGTGTTAGACGTTAAGTGTCAAACGCTGAAGAACATGAAAAAAATCTATTTCCCCGCTTTATGCTGTCCTATATTAACAGTGTTCTCAAATACCCTTGCCAAGAGTCCACCTACCATATGTGGTCGTGAACCCCATGAAATTTTAAGCAGAATTTCATGCATGTGCCTTTTTTTTATGGGCAGAAACCCAACCCAGGTTAAACCTAAGTCTGTCGCTCTGCCTATTCCTTGAGCACACTCAAGCTGTAAAATTTTAGAGAAAGACAGCTGTGCCGACTGGATTCATTGATTCATAAGCACATACCTCAACAGTGACTGCGTACACACTTCTACCATTACGCCTTTTGCCTCCTGTTGCAAAGGAAGAACTCACCTAGGAACAGCGTTGCCACGTGTACTATTGTTGCCATGTACTCCTGCCTCCTCAAGGACTTTGCTTCCACAATTAACCCCTTCCTCTGCTGCACCATAAATTCTCTCCCTTTTTGCCAAATGATTCTCATCAACAAATACGTTGTATTTAAATAAGTATTTAATATGTATATTCAAATAAGACTGTCTATTTTTTAAAAATCACTAGACAATGATTCCTTCTGATATGCACCATTTCTTTGTTCCCACCATTTCTCTACCTTTTTATAACCTTCTAGCCTTATCTCTGATGCCTCATTTTCCTTTCTCTTACTTAACTGACTCCAACCCAAAATAAATGTGTGAAACATAGTTCTTAAGAAAAAGAAGAAACTTTAAAAAATAGTATGAAACAGTTGACAGGAAATAAATTGTGAAATAAAAAAGATGTAGAGTTAGTAAATAAACCTAAATGTTGATTTTTTTTTTTTGGTATAAAATGAAGTAGATGAAACTAACCAATTAAGAAGCAAAGAGAAGAATCATTGGTATCCTAATAAAAATGGTGAATGGAGAATTCTGTCCAGATCCTTGCTGTTGTGTTCAAACAGTCAAATAAAACGGTTAAGTTTAAGAAAAATAAAATCTCATGACTGATTATAGAACATACAGAAAACCTAAACAGATTAACAGAGAAGAAACAGAATTCTCAAGGAGTTAACTCCTACCAGCACCACCTGCATACATCCCAACCCCTCAAGATTCAGAATGAAATTCTAATTATAATGCACTTTAAATTTTTCTAGGACCTAGATAAAGAAGGAAATCTTTCGTGTTTTAAAATGTGAGTATAACAAAGATACCCAAATTCAATAAAGTCGCAAGGGAATTGTGATTTCATTTTGCTTAAGAATATTGAGCCAAAAATCATTAGTGAAGTCTATTGAAAGGATCAAGCAGCACATTTCCAAGTGGAATTTATTCTAAGAGTGCAAGGATGGTTCATTATTAAGAAATAAATTAACAACTTACCATATTGCTTTATATAAGGAGAAAAATCATAAGCATCTTCATAGAAGGTAGAGGCATTTCAATATTTAAAATCCATTCTTTGTTAAATAAAAAACTTACTAGACATAGGAACAGGTGGATACGTTTAAAACTTAATTAAATCAAACTACTCTACCTCAGTTGTATATTGGGAAACACTAGAAGCATTTCTATTAACATCAAAACAAGACAAAGTTGTCCACCATCACTACTTTTTTTTTCATTTTTTTTACAAGAACTTTTCACTACATTTAGAGTCAGGTAAGAAATTAGAAGTATAATAATTGGAAAGCAGGAAATAAAATTATCATTATTAGAACATGATTTAATTATACATCTGGGCAAAGAATTAACTGAAAATAGTGATTAAATGTTAGACAACACTTTATTGCAAATAGTTCGGATAAGCAAGAGCAACCAATATATGCAGAAAAATCATTTGACAGAATTCAAGGAAAGTACCAAGCAGCGTTCTGAGAGAAAGAACGGGGAGATATGTCAAAATTTTTCTTAAAGAGTAATTAGGAAGTACTACTAAATTATTCTTTATGGTAGAGCACAGAGGCAGGCACAGGAATAATTAAAATCAGGAATAATAAAGGGATATCTGCACTCATTTTTTAATTCAGTATGGTTCTGGGAGTTTGAACAAGTGAGATAAGAAAGAAGTTAAATTATAATGATTTGTAGATAAGGCCATATAAAGCAACAGAAAATCTGTTAAAACTAATGCAAGTGCCCTATAAATGATTCCATGCAAGACAAATATGGCACATGAAAATTAGCAGTTTTTCTTGATAACAGCAGTGAGCTAGCTGTTTGATTTGTCTAAAAAATAACCACCTTCACACTATGAACAAAACCTATAGAATAAGAATAGCTTTAACAAGAAATGTGGAAACTCTATGTAAAGGAACAAGAAATTATGAAACTCGAATGAAAGTTTTAAAGTCCTAATAAATGGAAAGACACACCTTGCCCCTGGAAGGAAAGACACAGATTTTTAAATATGCCTTTTTCCATAAAAATTAACACATAAATTTAATATAATTCCTATAAGACTTGCAGTGAGTTTTGTTGGAAGAACTTTACAAATTGATGCTCAAGTTTATGGATCATCATAGATTATCACAGATGAGCTAAAAGATATCCAATGTTTAAGAAACTTTTGAAAGAGCAGACTCAGGAGAGGTGGGGGTGAGTCTTCTACCAGGAATAAAAGCATATAATTATGTTGGAGTTGTTTGTTAATGCAGGAATAAAAATTCAAATCAAGAGAACAGAATAGTCAGCCGAGAAATGGATATAGATACATGTGGGAGCTTAGTATGTGCTCTGATATGGAAAAATTCCAATATTTTATTAAAATTAAAAAATGGGCACTAATCTTAGTGCAAGATTTATTTATACTTATCTAAGTGTAATATTTATTCACATAAATATTATGACATAGATATATGTTGAAGGATATATAAGAAACTAAACATTGATACCTCTCTGAAATGGAATAGGGTCTTGGGTAGATGGCAGGCTTTTAATGCACATTCTTTGGTATACAGAGCATCTTCCCATGAATAGAGGATTGATGGATACATTATTCAGTACAAATAAATAACATGCTTTTCTTGAAAAGAATATAGTAGACATTAAAGTTGATGTGGAAAGACAGCCACAGACTATTGTGGAAAATGTGCATAACAGAATATATAGCATGATCGTAATGAAGAATATGTATTAATGTAAGTCTAAAAGGACAACAATTAAGCCCTCAGCAAGAGCATAAAGTAGAGGATAAGGTAAAATCTTTTACTTTCCATCTCATTGAGAACGAGTAATTACTACTTCCAGTCAAAATAGAAAATATCAACCAGATAATCACATCCATTAGTTATGTTCTCACTCATACATAACTATTCCATATCCAGACACATTCATGGAAAAAAAAAAACCCTACAGTCTTTATCTCCCAGCTCTCAAAACCCAACAGTGTCATTCTAAGTGAAGTAAGCCAGAAAGAGAAAGAAAAATACCATATGAGATCGCTCATATGTGGAATCTAAAAAACAAAAACAAACAAACAAACAAAAACAAAGCATAAATACAGGACAGAAATAGACTCACAGACA